CAATTCAAACAATGGACTCCAATATTCTCCTCCACCCCGGTGATCAAATCAGCACCCCAATGCTTTTACCTTTCCCGGAAATGCATTTTCCCAGCTCACTGAGGATCTCTCTCCTCTCCTTCACGCTGGCTGTAGTTACTTTCACTGCAAACCTCTTCAGTGTGTCAGAAATCTAAAAGCACACACGGATGGGGAAAAGACATCAAGGCGCCTGTGGTGTCCACATATAGAACACAGAACCAGGGCAAGCACAGCCAGCAGCTGCACCACCTCTTACTGACCAAATGCAATCAGCCCTGGCCTCACCTAGCAGGGAAAGGCTCATGCAAGTTGCAGCTCCAAAGCCTCCCTGTTAAACTGTAGGATGATGGCTTTCTGCTTGCTAATCTATAACGGCACCCCTTAAGGTTCATTCACCCTTCTAAAAGGGCAGAGTGACAAATCAATCCTGAGAGCATAAGGATTTGAAAAGCTAAAAGCCTAGGGATGCACTATCTCCTAAAGCCCAAGAACCCCTTAAATGCACTTCTAACTGCTGGGGGCTCACCACAGAGCCAACCAGGCTTCCTAGGACACCAACCTGTGGTTTCTGTCATTGGCAGTGAAATCACTTGCAGGGAATCAGGACAAGAATGCACAACTTGCCTTTATTCTCACCCAGGATCAGCATACACGACCCAGGAGCTCTGTACATTGGACTCATCAGATTAGAAGAATTTATGCCTTGCAATAAAACTCCTCCCTTGTGCCATCAATAGCACCCAAGAAAAACAAAAAAACCAGAACTGAATGCCTCTGCATGTCCGTGCTCCTGTGGCTGCTGTGTTCCTGTACACGCAGGCTGCCGGGGCCTGAGACAGCTGGCCAAGTGAGATGCAAGCCTGAGGCAGCCTTCATGCAGTGTGAATAGTGAGAAAAAACTGGAAGGCAGTTTATATTCTCAGAGATGTGTTCCTTCAGCTGCTGAAACTGCTCCAATGAACACCTAAGTTTTAAAATTACACATGAGAAAAGGCTTTGGGCAGCCCGACCAGGGCTCAGGATCACAGCCTGCTACGCTCTGCATTCACTTCAGCTAAAACAACGGGGCTCCAAGGAAAGGCTTGTAAAATTCACCTCTCAAATTGAGCGACTCTCAAGGCAAAGCGTTACCGGCTTTGCCACAAAGGACGTTTCAGAAGCACAGGAAATAGCGAGCTGAGGAGCGGGGATCTCCTCCGCTCTGCCCAGGGGCTGCCGCCAGCACAGCGCCCTCGGCGGGGCACAGCGACCGGGCACAGGGGGCGGGCCGTCCCGGAGGAGGGGACGCTGCTCGGCGCCTGCAGGGCATCCCGGCCCACCGGGACGGAACCGCAGCCGTAAAGGAACTCCTTTAGAAGCCTTCAGCCCTCATCCAATGCAAACCAACCGAGCCGCGTTGCCTCGTGCTGCTGAATCAGCAGCGCGGACACACAGACGTGAAAAACCAGTAAATTGTGCCGGCGGCCCGGCCGTGCGGCGCCACGGAGGGACGCCGCCAGCAGCGCGGACGGGCGGGAGCGGCACCGGCTGCGGCGCCGGGCTCTTCGTGGGACACGAGTACGTGTCGGAGCGCCGGGAAGCGCCCAGGGAGCAGCGACGGGACGCGGGGCCCTCGGGCTCTCCGCTGGGAGCCGAGCGGCGCGGTGCGCCCCGCAGAGGCGCAGAGAACGGCCGGGACGGACGCGGCTCCAGCGCTGCCCTCCCCCCCCAACTCCCGGCGGCTCCACCGAGGCCCCTCCCGCCCCCAGCTGACCGCCACGTCCCCGCGGCACCGAGCCAGGCCGCACGGAGAGGCTGAAAGAGCGCGGCGGGGAGAGGCACGGTGAGGCCGAGCCGCGCGGATCACCGCCAGGCTGCTGCCGCCGCCGCCGCCGCCGCCGCGGGCCCGTCCCGCACCCACCTGCGTGTCGGCCGCCATGGCGCCGCCTGCGCCCCCGGAAGCGCTCCCTACTTCCGGAGCGGCGGGCGCCGCAAGGCATGCCGGGACAGATACGACACCGCGCCGAACTACCCCGCCCCGCCTGCAGGGGGCGCCCCGCAGCAGTCCAGCCCGCCCCGCCCCGCCCTCCCCGCCTGCAGGGGGCGCCGTCCCGCTGCCCTGCCCGCCCCGCCCCGCCCCGCCCCGCCCCGCCCGCGGAGCACCGAGCACAGCGCCGGGACACGGGACAGCGTTCGGTACAGAGCTTTATTTGCGGCCGCAGGGCCGGCAGCCCGCTAGTCGAAGAGGCCGAAGCCCATGTCCTCGTCGGACTCCTCAGATTCCTCCTTCGGTGCCTCCTTGGCCGGGGCGGCGGCGGCAGCGGGTGCAGCCGTTTCAGTGACCACCGGAGCGGCTGCCACGAAGGCGGAGGGGTCGGCCAGGAACGCCTTCACCTGCAGAGGGAAACGCAGAGCTGGGGCAAACCACGTGTCTGCAGGATGGGGCCTTTGCCACCGGAGAGGCGACGCTCGCTGTGAGCCCCCAGGAGCCCCGACAGCTCCTGAGCCACCGGTGAGGTGCAGCTGTTACCTTTTCAGCCAGTGGGAAGGAGTAGTCGGTCTCCACCGCCACCGCCAGCACCCGCTTGTACCCATTGACAATGGAGTGGGGCACGGAAGCGATGGTCGGGTACCCGATCTGCAGGCAGACGCTGGCAACGTTACGAACACCCTGCGAGGGAGAAGTTTGTGTTGTGCAGGGCCAGCAGCCGGGCTCCAACCAACGGGCAGCGGCACATCGCACAGGACGCACCCACGTAACACAGCTCTGGTGAACTACGCAAGGCATCGGTATCTAAACCACCTCCAGACTTTTCTGAAGCAGCTTCCAGATTCCATACATGCTTCGCTGTCTTAACACGTTCACCGATCCCACACACACCTCAGCTAATGAAATACATGGTATATTTCCCCTCGCTTCAGCCAAAAAAGCCTACAGAAGGCACTCCTGGCCAACTGTTTCTCCAGGACACTTGGGAGAGATCCTGGCTTTGCAGCACTGCTGAAAACACCAGAGGTGACACTATGCCCTGGGACAGGGCCTCCTGCCTCTTTTCTCCCTGCAGTGGAAGAGCTGAATGTAATAATAAACAGGGGCTGTGGCACTGACCTCCAGGAAACGCTTGTGCAGGGTCTCCTCAGTGATGTCCAGCACTTCAGGGTTGTAAATGCTGCCATTGTCAAAGACCTGCTGGATCACCAGTCCAAAGGAGAAGGGAGAGATGTTCAGCATGTTCAGCAGGGTGGCTTCGCTGGCACCCACTTTGTCTCCAGTCTTAATGAGCTGCACATCACTCTGAGAAAAGAAGAGGAAAATGAGTGAATACACACAGAGATATTCAGGTAAACCAATACAGCAGCACAGAAAGGTGTATTCCTAATGACAAGAAATGGAACTGAAATCATAAAAGAGCACAAGGAAAACACACTCAAAGTTCACCTCCACAAGCTAAGGCCTCACAAGCAACTGCTGCTCACCAGGAGGAAAGCAGGGCCTTAACTTGGCTCCCTGCAGCTCATTAACTCCTCCAGAAGAGCTTAAGCTCTTGGGGTCTGGGATCTGATGGAGGAACTTAAACCCATCTCCCACTCCACCATCAAACTGAACCTAGCCCAAAATGAAGCAGTCAGACTGCTAGTACAGTATTTCACTGTAAACAGGATCATCAATCCTTGCTCCTGACCAGAATTTCAATGGTCCCTCTGGAAATCTTTGTGGTGATGCCCAAGGCCTGGAAAAATGAGGTCTTCTCAGGTCCGAGACCGGTGTTCTGGGCTGGCACAGTCACATCACAGGGAGCAATCGCACCAGCACGGGCAGCTGCCGGCACCTGCAGGAAGACAAAACAAGGAGATCTGTTGGAGGAGTGCTGACCTCTCAGGGGCATCAGCCCCATCCTGATGTGCTCCAGCAGGATGGACGTCAGCTGGGCACACACAAGTGAGACGGAACCAAAAACTGAGATGGAATTAAACACAGGTGAGTCACCCACAGCTGGAGGGGCTCCCAGCCACCAGGTAACCCGCACAGCTCTGTATTATCTTTAACTCAGCAAATGCCAGCCCTGGCACTGCGAGGTCCCACCCCGTACCTTGTTGGCCAGCAGCATGTCTCGGATCTCGGTCAGATCCTCCTTGGTGAAGACAAAGCCCACATTCCCACGGATGTGAGGCAGCAGCCTGAAGGAAAGCAAAGCGTTCAGCCCCGCTCCTCACACACATCCCAGGGAGGCTCGGGGCGGTACGCACTTCTCCAAGGCGGGGTTGTTCTCCAGGTGCCCGCGGATGGCTTTGCGCATCATCGTGTTCTTCCCCATCAGCACCACGGCCTTCCCGCGCAGCGACATGCGGATCTGCTGCATCTGCTTGGAGCCCACGTTGTCCGCTCCCACCACGAAGCATTTCGGGTAATCATCCAGCAGTTGCTGCGGCACGCAGAGCACCGTCAGCACCGCGGAGCTGCGGCCGCTCCACGCGCTCCCCAACGCGTTTATCACGGCCGGGCGGCGCTCGGCCCCGGCCCGCATCGCGCAGCAGCCGCAGGGCGCGGCCCGGCCCCGCTCCCCCCGGCGGCACTCACGATGATTTTCATGAAGTAGTTGGACTTCCACGTCGCCCTGTCTTCCCTGGGCATCGCGGCGGTGCTCCAAGGATCGCCCGGCGGGTTTAAAGACGAGCTGTGAGCTGCGAGAAAGGCGCGGTCAGCCGGCCCCACGCCCTGCCCCGCTTCCCCACCCTCCCGGGCCCCCGCTCCGCGCTCCCCCGGTGACCTCGACAGCCCCGAGGCACTTCGGGCCTGCAGCCGCCCGGGAAGCGCCGCGCGGCGCACCCACCTCCACGAGGGCTCCGGGAAAGAAGGGCCGGAGGGCGGGGCCTCCGCCTTTCATACGGCGGCTCTCGCCCAATCGCAGCGAGCCACGGGAGGGCTCTCGCGCAACCCATTGGCTGCCCGCAACCGCCAATCGGGGCGGACAGCTGCTCCGGTTGGGCGACGCGCCCGTCACTCACAGGAGCGGCGCCGACGGCGTGCGGGCCGCACTACGGCGGAAGGCGCGGCGCGCCCTCTAGCGGTCGGAGGAGCGCGCGGCAGCGGAGGGGCGGCGCTGACGGACAGAGCGGCACCGGCACGGAGTAACGGTACAAACTTTATTGGCGTAACTGCAAGAACTTAAATGGAAACAAAGCACAGCGAGAGCGTTACATGGCGGGACGGCGACGCGGCGAGGCCCTAACAGAGCCGGTTGTTGCCTTCCGAGGGCTGCAGGGCTCCGCCCGCCCGTAGCGCACGTTGTGCGGAGGCGGCACCGGCACCGCCCGGCACGGCGCTCCGCCCCCCGCGGCTGTTCGGCCGGGCTGCCCGCCCCGCACCGCCCCGCAGCCCGAGCTGCGCTCCCCGGCCCCGCACCGCTCCCGGCCCCGAGCCGCACTAAGCAGCGCTCCGCGCCCGTTGGGTTTAACGGCACCGCCACCGCAGCGCTGATAGAAAAGTCGCTCTCTTTAAAAATCACTTCAAAACCAATTTCTGTATAAGAGGATTAAAAGCAAATTAGATACGAATTCGAAAATCAGTGTAGAAATCTTATCAAAGACAGGATACAGTATTCATTCCCGTAGTAAAACCGGGCGTGTCGCACAGCCCGCCCGGGGTTTGGCATAACAGTCAGTATAAAAGTTATTGCTGTAGCATCTCTTAGTAGCACACGTGGGACGGGAGCACAGAGAGGGGAAGGGCCAAAGGCTGGCAGCTCTCGTTAGCAAAGAGAGGAAGAAGAACGAGAAAGTTAGGACTTGGTTTGTTTCCTGGCTTCTTAAACCCCTCCACTCCTTCCCCCGCTCCCTCGGGAGGAGCTCAGGCCCTTACAGCTGGACACAAACATGCACTCCTGCTGGGGGTGGGCAGGAATGCTGTGCTCTGACTCCCTGCACCCACACTTCTGAAGGGGGACAGCACCCACTGCTTCCACGTGCTGAGAAGAGGCATGGAGTAACAAACCAGGAAGAACCCACAGAGTAACACCTTCATTCCTCTTAAAACAACAACGACAAAAAAAAAAAAGTGGTATCAACTCCTTACAGTGTAATGGAACTGGAGAGACCCTTGCAGGGCCGTGGCAGCCTGTGCTGAGGCTCTGATCTGTAAGTCACACGTGCCATGTGGCTCTAAGAGCAGAGGCAGGGTGCTGCTGAGATCACGGGGTGCCCTCGCTGTGCCAGGTGTCAAAACTGCTGTCTGCAAGCATCAGGGTTTGCCCAGAGCTGACACAGATAGAATCCTACGTGCAGAGCCGCTCCTGGCAGGAGGGGCTGAGGACAGCCTCCCTGGTGGAGCCCTGGGGCTAAGCTCAGCTGTCAGTCATACACAGACACACCGTAATGAGGGGACCGAGCCTCTCTCTACTGAGACACAGCAAGGGCATTTCCAGTTTAATGGTCCGTCTCATCTCTGGATCTCCTGCCTCTCTGCAGCAGCACTGAGCACTGCCACCCGCCCCCTCCCCTGCCTGGTAAGGTTTCTAAATCACAGTAATGTTCAAAGAGACAGAACTGCCACAAGGGGCGGCAGAAAGATGCTTAGCTCCCATCTATGATGCCTTTAACAGAAGAGTTTGAGAAAGCAGTTCTGACAGTAGGGCTTGTCGTTCTGTTCTTTGAAGGTTCCTTTGTTGAGCTGCTTGAGGCAGAAGGCACAGACAAAGTGTTCGGGGTGAAATTTCTTGCCCATGGCAGTGATGCAGCGTCCCGTGATGGGCTTCTGGCAGCCAGAGCACAGCGAGCCGCGGCGCTCGTGGTAATGCACCTCACAGTAGGGCTGCCCGTCATGCTCGAAGAAGCTGCCGTTGATGAATGGTGTGAAACATTCCTGTAAGAGGAGAAAGCAGAAGAGGACAGATTCAGCAATGAGCGGGGGATGTGGGCAGCTCACAAACCTCTGCTCTGTGGCACAAACCGGCCGCACCGCGGGCAGCGTGAACTGCTGCCTTTCATCATCCTGCCGTGTGCTGAACCAAACTCCTGTCTGTTGAGAAGAGCTTCCAAGGAAAGGCTGAGAGATGGACAGATACAGCCACAAGCAAGGGAAACAGCCATGGCTTCCAGCTGGCTTCCCTTGCACAAAGGAAATACAACCAGCTACTAGGAAGGAGGAGAAACAATCCTTCCCGTGGGACACGAAACACTGCAGCACCTTCCTCTCCTTTTAACTCCTAATCTCAGCCCAGCTTCCCTACAGTGGGAAGCAGAGGACAGAGACCAACAAAGTTTTCTTACAGCAAAATTTAATGAATGTGGGGCTGGTTCCAACTGAAAAAAAAGAACATTTTCAAAAGCAGACTCTCCAGCACAGCTGGCATTAGAGATATGCTTTACACAGGATCTGGATTCCATTCACTGAACACAGCAGCAGAAGGGCCCAGAGGAGAAGCCAGATCTCCAGAATCCTGGTGTTGCCAGCCCAGACACCAACCTCTTTCCCACAGAGAAAGCTCAGCTGGACCCCAACACAAACAAGAGCCCAGTAAACAACATGCAGAGCCACAAGTAGCTAGACACTCACAACAGCATGGTCAAACACCATTTGCCTACAGCAAGTCCAAAACTTATCTAATGCAAACAATTAGTCCAATAAACAGCCTCCTCCCTCAGCAGGACAATTGAAAAGTCTTCTCTGCTTTAGCAAAATGGAGAAGATCCTGCCTTGTGTATTGGAAGACATCAGAGCTAGCCCCACTAAAACAAGCAGTGTGGCAGCAGCGAAAAGGAAAGCAGAACTGCAGGAAAGAAGCTCAATGCTGGCACAGAAAGCCTGGCCCTGCCTGGCCCCACACAGCCAGCACTGCCATTTTCTGGCTCCATTCCCCACACACCACTGCAGGAGCCAGACAGCAATGGACAGGCAGTGCAGTGCCCTGAACAGCAGGAACCAGCAGCTCATGATTCTGCTGCTTAATCTGGCCTCTGCCTTTTTGTTTCACTCTAGGAAACACTGGCTTGTATTTGCTCTTCTCTTGGGGCCTGTAAGAGATAATATTTGCAAGGCTCTCTGAAAGAGTGCCAAGCATTTAATCTGCAGTATTCCTGTTTATTATGCCTGTTGTATGGAGCCTGCCACTATTCCACTGACGTGCATGCTTCTCTGAACAAGGTCAGTTTTGTTAGTTTATGTTGTCAGATGGAGAATGAGAGGAAGATCCTCAAAATCTGATCGTTGAGGCAAGTGCTTAGAGAGAAGCTTAGCTTATAATTGTTTATAGGTCACAAAACATGCCTCTGTTTATCTGTGCACTGCTGCAGAAACCCTTTAACTGCAGCTGGGAACAGAAAGAGTAATGCATCAAGAAGGTTTCATGTAAACAGGCAGAGGAGCAAGAAGGTGTTTGGTTGCTGACGTTTTTATCTTATGGTGCTGGTGGTCTCTCATGACCCCACAGATTCCTCCTTCCTGATAAGGGAGCAGATGCCTGCAGGATGCGAAGGACAGGGGTCCAGCAGCCACAAAGGACCTTGGATTTCTTACCCGACAGACAAAGCACTCAGGATGCCACAGGGTGTTTAAGGCAGAAATATAATTTTCCAGGATAGCCCGGGCACAGCCTCCACACTTGGGAGCAAACATGTCGAAGTAGTCCTTGCGACAATAGGCTTTGCCATCCTTCTCATGAAATCCTGTCAAACAAGAACAAAGGCAAAGATCATCAGCTCCAGACCCTCACCTATGGCAGCCAAGCTCTGTGGGGTAACCAGCGTGGGTAGGATCACCCTTCCTCTCCCCTAACACAGCAGGCAGTTGTTTCTTGTTCTGCTGCCCATCCTGTCCCATGCACACACATGCTCATCCTCTCCAGAGACTAAGAGAGTGAAAAGATTTCTGGTAAGATCCTTCCCCCATGAATAGCTACTTCTCTTGCAACTTCCATCTCCAGTATTTCCTGTCATCTCAAGCTGGTCCCTAATAACAGCTCTGCCTTACACACTTGTCTGCAGTTCAGGAAGAAGAATGTTTTCCCCTCACATTAACTAGTAATACCTTCAGGTCCAAAGAAAACTCCACACTGGGCACAGAAAAAGTGTTCAGGGTGCCACGTCCTGTCCAAAGCCGTCACCACTTTCTGTTCAGAAGACACAAAGAAAAGTCACATAAATGATGGCTTCAGCTTAGAGGTGAGCAAGAGGGAGTGGGGAAGACCACATTTAACTTGACGCTGACAACTGCATGCATCAAAATAGACTGTTCCTTTATAGAGCTGAGTCAATTCTTCCCTGTCTCTAGCTCATTTAGACCTTCCCTTTGGGATGCTTTTTTTTTTTAAATCCTAAAAAGACATTACACACTGCTTCCTCCCTTACACAGGGCCCCATCCAGCTCTCAGGACTAGCACTGGTGCTGTTACTACAGGCTACCAGCAGAAAAGAGCTGGGGAGTCATCATCAGAATGATGGAACCACATGGAGTTTCAAAGGATTACAGCTTCAGGGAAGGTGAGGGGGACTGAACCACCTCATTAATGTAAAAATAGTACCAGATCGAGTTGTTTGCCTTTCAGAGCCAGGGCAAAGGCAAAACAGAAGCCCCTAAAAGCATCTTTCACACAGGACACACAGAGCTTTTAACATCAAGGCCTGCAGCAGCTCGCCAGTGCTCTTAACCCTAGCCAGGAACTCACATCAAGGATTGGCCCATTGCAGTAGTAGCAGCGAGGAGAGAAGAGGTTGTGATAGTCCTTCTCACAGTAGGGCTGCCCATCCCGCTCAAAGAAGTTCCGTGACCCAATCTCCTCCTGGCAGTGGGTGCAGACAAAGTGCTCAGGGTGCCAGGTTTTCCCCATGGCTGTAACTACCTGTTGGGAAGACAGATTATGAAGGACAACTCCATCTCGCCCTCCCCAGACCACATGACAAGACACCAGCTGGAGGTCAGCAAGAATGGCAAGTTCTACTACTCAAGTGAGCCCTGGACTGGGGTAGCATGAAAACTGAATTACCTATCATCTCAGGAGAGGGCAGTCCCTCAAGGGCAGAGTAGAGGTCACTGGAGGAGCTTACAGCGTACCTAGCCAGTGGATAAATAGAGTACTTCAGTTTCTCCAGCATCTCCAGTCTCTTCAGCCTCACGAAAGAAACCCTCCCCACTGCTCCCAGCTGCAGGCCAAGGCTCAGCAATAGGACAGCACCTACAACTCACCTGCCCAGCAATCGGCTTCTTGCAGGCTCCACACACACCCTTGGCGACTGTTGCTACCCCCAGTTTGTTCAGGTCAGACTGCAGGCTTCCCAGCATGGTGTCCAGCTGACTGCCAGGCTTGGGGGTGGTGGATGGTGGGGAGCTGCTGCCACCAGCCTTCCCCTGTGCCATGAACTGTAGGGAAGAGAAAACAAAGATTATACAGCAAACGTTGCTGCACTTCCCAGAAATATCTCTGCTCTTGCTGCCAGTGGCACTTCTGTAGAGACAAACCAGAGACTGCTAGGAGACAGCTATGCTCTCTGCAGAAGCCTGGGAGAGCCAGGATCAAGTACACACATTCTGCCCATGCAGAGACACCCTGGGATGTAAAACAGCAGAGCTGGCAACTAAGGATTTGACTTTCTTTTGCTGTACATGCAGCAGAAGTTACTAGCTGTTCCCAAACACTCAGTACAGTGCTCTGTAAGCCCCTGCCAAAAATCTCCCTTTACCTCATCAGTTCCTGGCCAGCTGTCAAAGCAGACACCATCCAGAGGGCCCCTTCCCTTTGACCTCTTTCTATTCCTACTGCCTCTTTCCATCCTTCTTAAAGGGATTCCTCTTCCACTCTCCATCTCCCTTTCAGCTAGATCTCCCTTTCCTCCATCTGCACTCTTTATGTACATTTCCTTTTTTGCCAAATCTCCTTTGCCCCATCAGGTGGCTCTCATCCCAGGCCAAAGCTAAGCAAGTGGAAGCAGGAAGGAAATTCCCTTCAAGCTGTCTGTTGTTTACCCACACAGAGGGCAGTGCATCCACAGCAGGGCCTGAGCAGGCAGGGCTGCAATGGAAGAACTGCCACGTCTGTTGTTGGACCTCTGGAAATGCACAGGGAAGGGGTTACAATCCTCATCCCAGAGGCAGTTTCTGGAACTCCACACTGTCACAGTACACGCAGCTTGGAAAGGCTTCTCAGAGGAGAACAGGGAGAGAAGTTTTATTTAGGTTCACAACTTAGGAACAAAGTATGTGCTCTCTTTGGACACCAAAGCTGCTTTTACAAGAGAACTGCAGCAGTGACATAGATTATTTTAGCTGACTGCACTGCAATAGCTACTCTCAGGCCTAGAAAGACCCACAAAAGTCCCCCCTGAGATGCTGCTCTGAAGCATGTTTTCTCCTGCTAGGGGGTCAGATTAACAACAGATGTGAAATCCACACTTGTGAACAACCCACTAGCAGCCATCATGGGCAGGGGAGCGGAACTTCCTGAAGTGTTCCAGAGCCCTGGCAGAATTTGCCCTTCCAGCCACTGGAGGAGCTCTATTCCCTGTCCTGCAGCCAGTCGTGCTTGTAGCCAACCAGCTGACTCAGTGACGAACCTTGGTTTCCACTTGTTTGTAGAAAAATTCTCATGACATACATAATTTCCCAGCCTAGCAGCACAGAAAAGCCCCAGTGTCTGGAGCCTGGAATAAACCCTCTGCCATACAGCTGTTATTTGCTACCAAACAGTTACAGTGAACATCTCCAAAGCACTCCACAGCAAGGAGACTGCTCACAGGAGAAGGACAGCATGGCCTCATCTATACAGAGCCAGGGCACAGTCCCAGGACAAGGTCAGGGCTTCCTGCATGGCACAGTACGAGGAAAAGGGTTGGACAGAGCTGCACTCTGCAAAGTGTGCAAAGAATCATATCCTCTCTCACTAAGCAGGAGCTTGTGGCCACAAGGCAGAGATTACACAGAGACAAATCATAAATATCATCTGGAAAGAAAGGAGAGGAGAAGAATTCAACACATAGAAACACAGTACTTGCTGTGCCTTGCTGGTGTGGCCCATGCAGATGACCTCAGTGCAGGCCCAATGACCCAAGGACACTGCCATCACTACTTGGTTCAGCCCTCGTGCAACCTCCTGCACACAATGCCTGCTATTTGAAGGGGCCACAGCACAGCATCCACACAAATCCGTCATGCAAAAGCCCTTCAAGTTGCCCCTTTACCACAAGACCTACCAGCACTCTCATTCAGCTGGGAGCTATATGAGCACCAAACCATGCACTACCAGACAGCAGCTATGATCACCACGGTGCAAGCTCCAGGAGCAGCTCCCAGCACACACATCCACCCAAAGAGCACACCATGCTGAGAGGAAACAAAGGAGCTCCTGCCTTCTCAGGGCTGGGGGGACTTAGGGGTGCACAGGCAGCCAGCAGGTTGGCACTGCGGATGAGGGGAGGAGCAGAGGTCACCTGAAAAGTACAACAGTTCGGGATGCAGAGGCTGGCTGGCTGCTGAGACCTGCTTGTACAAATAGCATGGCATAACACTACGCTGCTCACATATATTACAACTTCCCAGCATCCCAGGGCTGCAACCCCTCCCTGACAGGAGGCACAGAGCACCAGCTCCTCCTCCAAATGCAACAGGGACACCTCATCACATGGGTAAGCACAGGAAGGATTGAGATTTCACTGTCACTTTTCCATCCCTCTTCCCTTCTCATGAGAGACTGTGGCAGGGAGAGTTGAGACCTGAGTTTCAGAGCTACCTTCATCTCAGAGGGAAACAAATCAGAATCCCTGCTGCACAAAGGGCAGAAAGAAAGCACCCACATCTCAGCAGATTAGTGCACAACCATGTAGTTTGCAGTGCTAGGCGGGCACAGCTGGCACTGATCTGATACCACTAATGACTCTGCTCTTTCATTAAGTGGTTCAGAGCCAGCCTTCACCTGAACATTATATCTACTGAGCTATCAAGCTGGCAGCAGTGGAAAGACTGGACAACACTCTGCTTAAAATTAAATAAAAAGGAAAGCAGAAAAGAGAATCCTGCCTGCATCCGCGGGAAGAAAGCCTCATCTTCTGTTTGACAGCCAACAGAAACGACTGTCTTGGTGCTAGGGGTCCAGGTCTGGGGAGAAGAGTGTCTAGGATCTTCAGAAGGAGGGGTGCCCACAACAGAGAGCTCATGATAATCAGCATCAGAAGCCTCCCACTGGAAAAGCGGCTGGGGAGCCAAGCGGAAGGAATAGGAGGAGACTGGACATGGAGCTGAGGTAGCTAGTGCATGGGAGGGCTGAGCTGGCAGCGGGAGGACAGGTACATGAGAGGGAGAAGCATTAGCAGGGACTGTCTTCACAGCTTCATTGGAAGGTTGGAGCGGGGGAGAGGCTGAAACAGAGACTGTCCTCCTTCGAGGGTGTGGGGATTCTGGAGGGAATACCACCTAGAAAGACAGGGAATAAAAGTGAGTAAATCCAAAGAGGAACCAACAAGCACCTCCTGCAACAGGAAGGCTGGAAGCACAGACCAGTGAGTAATGATCTTTGCTGTCTCGTGCTCTCCCTCCTGCTCTTCTGAACCTCCCTGGTTTACATCAGAGCACAACTGGAACATCAACCTCAGTGCCACACAGCCAAGCAAAGCAAGTAAGGACAGAGGCCTCTTGGTGGTTACCATCTTTATCTAAGGGGAAAAAAGCAGCAAAGAACCAAGGGACAGGGAAAATAGAGAAGGGAACCAGAAAGCTTGCTTCTCTGTGTAGCTGTAAGGAAGAGCACCATCTTACACCCAGAACTTCCTGCACAGACATGTACTGGGAATGACAAGGCATCCCTCTCTGACAAGTGTCCCAGAAGGGTTTTCAAACAATACCCACACGGGTATTTGATATGCAATAGCAGCAGATTGCCTAGACAGATACCATTACCAGCACCCTTAGGTATCACTCCAATTCTTAAACATGAACTAGGAACTGAGAGCCACTTTACTTTTCACGTCAGAAGAGGCTGAGCAGGAGTTAGTTCTTCATTTCATGTTGTTTAAGGTGTAGCCTAACATACACCTCCACAAAATGCTGCCTAGACAGAGGAACATGCTCAAATTTCCCAGAAGTGGAAGTTCCCCTCACTTTCTACCTTCTCTATTTGCTGTCCACCATTTTGCTCTTCCCCCTGGGGTCGGGCAGTGATAATGACCCCCTCTGTCAGCCAGTCATCCTGGCTTTTCCGCTCCTTCTCTTCCTGTTTAGCAACTCCCAGTCTGTCCTGCAGTTCTTCAATCAAGTGGTCTTGGGACTCAGTCTTGTGAAATATTGCAGGACCTAATTTACGCCTTGGAGAGAGGTCACGACTCATTGGATGCACATTGGAGGTTTCTTTTGTCCTCTTGATTAAAGACTTAATCTAGATGAAAAAGGCAATAGTGTCAGCAGAGAAAAGAGTAAGAGCAAGCCTCAAGATGCAACAGCACAAACTCAAGCCATTAGTGACAAATGTATGCAGGAAGAGTGAAGACATTAATTCCACAATGCCAAAATTCTTCTTGGCACAGTCCAGAACAGTGACTCAATGCAAGGAAAAACTCTGTAAGGATAACAACTGTCGCCAAAAATAACTATCTAGAAAAGGAAGGGAAAGATTACCCAGCAGAAAGCCAAGATACGAGGTGCAGCACAACCATTCCACTGAGCATTAAGGAAACTTCAGCATCACAAAAAAAACACAGCAGACTTTCAGTGTTTGCTCTTTACAAGCACAAGACTCTTGGTCTAGTGCAAAAAGCGTACATCCAGAGCTGGAAGGAACGCTAACAGGTCCAACAACAAGACCTAAAAAGGCAGAGGGACATCCTCCAGAGGAGTGAATCAGCCCTTTAGCTTTTCAGAGGCCTTTATGGACTAAGCATCTGCCTTATTCCATTTAAGGAATAAAAACCCATTTCACTGGGCAGTCCCTACACTGCCATGTTCTGTGCTGCTGACCGACCTGCAGAACAGACCACAGGACAAAGCAGAGGACTTAAAGCCTCCATGACATGCAGCTGTCAGTAACGCTGCTCAGCACCACATGCTGTTAGTGTGGGTGGGCCCAGGCACACTCACACCACACACAAAACGTTAGTGCAGTCAGGACAGCCCTAGTTAGGACTCATCCTCCTCCCACATTCGCTCAGTGCCTGCCTGGCCTGATGCAGAAATCCTTTCAATGGGTGGTTTGGAGAGGCACGGCAAATCCCATTCAGCTTTCCGAGTGTTTTCAGGAGATTCTGGAACAACTGCAGTGCTTCTGATCTGCTCATTTTCCTCATCTCCTCCGGCTTTGCTCATGTTAGCAGTACCTGCCTTCCTGGGAGTTCTCTCTCTGCCCTGCCTCTTCTTGACCAGCTCAGGACAGCCACCGCCTTGGATTTCAGATGATACTTCAGCCTCTTGCTCCTGTCCTCGCTCCAAAACAAAGCCCAACTGTTTTTCAGTGTCTGGGAAGACACCCCACTGATCCAGGGCCACAACAGAAGGGTCACACACAGGACTCAAAATGCTGCCACCCTTCCTGTGTACTTCTGATACATGCTCAGACAGCTCCAGGGCCCACAGCTCATCTAAAGCTGCTTTCACACTTCTGCCCTGAGAAGGAAGGCCTGAATTATCCCTGAACACTCCCTGCTGATCCAACTCTTTAGCTGCCTGCTCCTTCCCCTGGCCACTTATTCCAGTGTTTGAAATTGAGACGCATGAGAGTTTGGGGTCACTTCTCTGCTCCTTTTTCTCACTCTCTTTTGCCAGCTCCAGGCCCTGTGCCTCCACCTTAGCAGATCTACACAGAAGCTCAGCCCTGGGCACAGCCTGGGAAGTCTTCCTGAAAGAGTCAGGCTTTCCAGTCAGCCTCACCGAACTTGCAGAGGCCATCTGCTCCCCACGAGTAGCAGAAACAGAAGAGACACGTGGAGGGGGCACAGGGACCATTTGTGGCAAAGAGGGTACGCGTGGAAGAGTGGCACACTGCCCTGAAGCAGGCCACACTACAGTGCTAATGCCTTCCTCAGCACAAACAACTGCTGAGGGGGAACCTGCTGGCACTGCCACATCCCCGCTGTGCCTGACAGAAGGGCATTTGGAAGAGGATAGCACTGTTAAACTGGGAGGAATGCTGCTGGAGTCTGCATCTGTTGAATCGGGAACCAGTCCTAGGGAGGGTTCAGGAATCAGAGACATAGTCTGTAAAAAGGAGACAGAAGAAAGAAGGAGAAAAAAAGAAAGATAAGAAACAGAGAGCAGAAAAAAAGGAAACATGGTATAAAGCGTTATAACAATTGTGATCTCCAAATCAGAAGCCATGTTGATCCAGAGCCTTACACCAGAGAAACAGGAATGAGAACAGGGTAGCAAAGAGGAGAATCAATGTGACATTGTGCTGATCTTTGCATGAGATCACAGGATGTGAAGCTGAACAGCCATCAAGATCGTTTTTCTCTGCACCCTCTTACGTAACACCTCATGTGTTCACCTGCAGTGTGATGGGGGCACGCAGCAGCTGCCAGGAAGCCAGCTACAAGCCCAGGAATGTCTGCACTGTGAGTGAAGGTCACATTAGCAACTTACTCATACTTAGCTATGTATATTCTATATTTCAAAGCTGGGGGGAAAAAAAAAAAAGCAATCGATGAATAGAACAGACCATGACATTTTCTTCTCGATGCACTAACAACGTGCTCCAGTTGCCTGAATTCACAGCAATGAAAACAAAGCCTCAGGGCATGCACAGCAAAAGCAGATGACATGGGCTTTGTTCTACTCACAAAAATCAATCTCACCTTGGACATGATACACAGTGAATCACAACAGCTTTGCCAGTCATTCCATGCTCTTCTAAGCTTTGCTTAGATTGCCAAATCAACCTCTTCTACTTAGGTCACAATCTCCACATTTCAGTGGTAACAAGATCAGTATTCATTTTAATCCAATACAACCTAACAAGAGTGACTGATATCAAGTTTTTGGTTCTCCTTGGCTCAGAGGGTGTTTAAAAGAAAATAAGAATCATGGATCCTCCTTTTCCTGTTTCAGTGGCTCCTGGCTGAGCCTCAGGAGACAAACTGGCATTTCACCTTTTTCCCAAAGACAGAAAAATCAGAACATTGCCTTAGCCAGGTTCACACAGTAGGTCAACCTAAGGCCAATGCAAAGCCCTGTCATTTTTAAAAACCTATCCAAAGATCTTCAAATCCAACCAAATACAAAGACATACTCTGATTCTTCACTGTGTTTTTTTGAAAAAGCTTTAAGCAGTTAGACGTTCACATCCTGATGTAGCAACAGCTCAGTCTTTACTTACCTGTATGGGGACTTGTCATGAATAAAAGGAAAAAATTAACCAGAACACAAACAAGATCTGCCAATACTTGGAAGAGACAGATACCTGCAGGTGACCTAAGCAGCTCCCAGGCCAAGGGGTCAGGAGCCAGCAAGCACACACTGGTGAAGTCCCCAAGTAGTGCCATGCAGAGGCATCTTAGAAAGTAATAGGGGACTGCAATTAATCACAGGTTGCTTCTCATTTCCAGGAGCAAATCAAGATGAAAAGAACCAGCAAGTACATTAATTAGTTAAAATAACGAGGGAGTTTCCTCATATTGCCCTCCTCCCTGTATTGTACCTAACGTGGATGTACCTATACAAGTATAGGTGTTATACTATAGTTCACTTACTCAGTTTCCAGACTTTCTAAAACAGTCAGCTGTTTGCAAGGCAAGGCTGTCATTTTGCTTAGAAGCAAATATTTCCAGCATATTAAAAACATACTAACTCCAAATTAAGAGCAAGGGCTAAATACATAACAGTAACACAACAGTTAAACACGAGCAGCACAATGTGCAGTGAGCGGCGTCACATTACACAGAAATGTCAGAGGCAAAAAAACCAAGTGCATTAAGTAATCTCAGTGCCTGCTGATGAGCTAGATAACCAAAATCAAATGGATTCTGTAAGCAAAGAGAACGAGCAACTCATTAAAATGAGCAAAAGATGATAAAAGGGTAATGTATCAGTCTGTAATAGCATCTGTTACTCTGGGGTATGACAGAAGTTAAACATTGGTGCTGCCACCTCCCCCACTGGGGCCTGTAGTTGTACCAGCCACCAACTCCAGCTAATTACATACTGCACTTCATTTCTCTGTCCTATTTCTTGCAACCACACACAAGTCTGGCACATGAATGACAGCCTTTTCTTTTTCACCTTTGGGAAAGACCTCACTTCTCTCCCGTACACCCTGTCATTGGTACAGACTAGAAGATAATTTTTACAGAGAAGTCAGCACCACCCATTGGCACAAATAGAGGAGGTAAAAACAAAGAAAAAGGACTGAAAGGAAAATGAAGAACAGGAAAAAGTAAAGTAGCTGTTCAAAAACAGCCAGTGACAATAGTAATAAAAGAGAAACTGTTACAGAAATTGTGTTGCTGGTTCTGTAGGGAACAACAGTTAGACAGACGAGCTCAATGCCTTTCAAAAACCCTGACGCTGCATTTATAAATCTTGAGATCATTTCAGGTTGCTTTTAGAGTTCAATCAGAAAACAAGCCAGGAAGGAGGGCAGTGTTACAGAAAGCATCTAGCCTCGTTCATGCAGTTTTTATTGGAGTTGCACAAAACAAAAAGGCCTGTTCCAGACAAGGACATCCCCTGCTGCCAAAGCTCACCTAGGAGCAAAGGCTGGTGGCAGCAACCACACCCTGAGCTTGTTTTCTAAGCCCTGATAAAGCAGCAGGAGGCCCTGGCACTGACAGCACGCAGAAGCAGCGAGGCAGGGTATGCTGCCAGCAGCACAGGTGGGAACTCTCTCCAGCTTCACAACAGCACAATTTTTCAACTGCATGGAACAGATACTTGCTGATAGCCTGCTCTCTGCCCTAGGACCTAATATGGAAAAAGAAAAGCACCAGTAAGGCATCACTATTTGCAGTGACTAAATACATACTAAATTAAGTCCAGAGAAAACAGTGAGTTGCTCCTTGAGTCTCACAAAGTCAAGTACATGAGTCACAGACTGCAGACTTGAATTAAAGCCAATAAGTACAGGGCAAGCAAAGTCCCGAGGAGCATGCAGGCTTCTCAGCTGTCTACATCTTCTCAGAAAACATTGCTCAGCTCTGACTGCCTCAGGACCAAACTCATGGTAGAAGATGGAGGTTAGCACAGGCAAGAAACACCACCAAGCACTGGCAGATTCTTCCACGTGAGGAAAATGTAAGAGAGTTTGGAACTTTCGTAGGATTACAAAGCAGACTTGCATGTGTATGTAGGAAAGGCACACCCAATAAAGACAACGTATCAGATATCTGCTTCTCCACCTCTCTCAGAACAAATTCAAGGGAATAATTCAGCAATGCTATAAGCAAACCAGCTGAAAGTAGAGAGAGGAAAATTATTTTGCTATGGGTAGATGAACCATGACAATAAACACAGTTAACCACCTAGTGTAAAAAGGATAGTATACCTAATTGAATAGAAATGTATGCATTTGTAAGTTATCTAGTACCCAGAGCAAGTGCTCGATGCTCTACTGCCAAGTTATTCCTCTGCTTCTTCTATTATGGGAATTTTTTTGTCTGTCACTTATGACTGAAGTAGCAGCAGCAGTTCTATTCCAATACAATACACTGATTTGCAAACAAGATCCTCAATAGTGTTTGCCATCCTTCACCCACACAAGCTCAGTCTTTAATCCTATTTGGAGCTGAATAATTGATATTGTTTTAAAATTGAAACCCTTGAAGTTTTCAGCTGCTTGATGCAAAGATTTCAATGCTTGTACCACATGCCTTAAAGCCCCTAATACCCTCCTCAAGGAAGCACAAAGCATAAGCACAGTGCAGCAGAGGGTCAGCCCACGGAACAGAAGAGCCTGGCCCCTATCATGGAGCAGAGTGGTGCTATCTCATGTTCCCCTACTTCTCGTTCAGTTGCAGCGCAGCAAAATAATTCACCCTGCACCAAGCAGTAACTGAGCTCATTATCTTTGCCAAATGCAGACAAACTGCAGAATGGATGGAAAAATAGATCCCAGAATTCCCTTACCCACACCAGCAACAGGAAATTATCGCAGTCAAGAATCTATAGCAGCACAAATACCACCAAAGGAAGTTTCACAACATGAGAGGTAAAGCGGACATTCAGGAAATCAGTTAAGGTCAGCAGATGTGGCCAGCATGCAAGAGCCTGGGCGTGGGAAGGGACGAGATGAGGTGCGAGCTGTCAAGATAAAGCACCTTAAAGTCAGAGAGGGACGCCATCAGCTCATCCAGTTCTCGTGTAGCTGAAGAAGCAGAGATACGGGTCTGCTGCTGACTGGCGGTGACACGCTGAGGGCTGCTCACCTCCCCTTGGCTCACAGTGATTGCAGGGCTGATGAAAATAAAATATGTTTATTTTTAAAGAGTGCATGTAGGCCTGGGGGAGAGCTCTTAGACTGAAAGCCTCACTAGCCCCTCTAAACAAGCACAGCGTGACAAGTGTCATCAGCACTGCTCGCCCTAGCCAGCCCTCCCACAGATCCAGATTCTGCAACACACACAGGTCCTGTCTCTCTGCCAAGTCTAACATGAGTGTACATGCACATACATCCATTAACAAACGAATCATGACCAAACACTCATTTGGCCAGAGAGCTATAAACCCAAGTTCAAAAAAAAAACGTGCCATTAGTAACACAACTCAAGTATTCTTTCATCCAGGAAGAGCTGCAGCAGATAGAAGAGCATGAGCATCTTCAAGTGCCTGCTTGACTTCCCACCCTACAGCCAGATCACATCTGTCTGTCACTGTCCCACAACATCTGCCCCTCCACTACACTCCCTACTCCCATAACAGCCCATCCAACCCCACTGCATCCACCAAAACACTTCTTACACTGGGCTTGGCACAGAGCTCTCCAACTCATCCAGCAGGCTCTCCACACTGGGACGCACATCTTCGATCCCACGCCCACCATTTCGCTTTGGTTTTTCTTTTGTAGGGGGTGCAGCCTTCCCCCCTGCAGAGCTGCTGCTCTCTGGGACGACATAGTGAGGTCCAGTCACGCTGGGCAGTGATGGGCTTCTGCTGACTTCATCTTTAGAACAGAGGAGCACAGTTGTTCAGACACATAGGTCCATGTATATGTGCAAACGAGAGAAAAGAGCAACATGCTGCCCAGAAACCCTGTGGAATCTCCATCTTTGAGAATATTTAGAACTTAGAGCATAAGGGCCTAAGCAACATAATCTAACTTTGAAATTGTGATGTTAGAGTCATTTCTAAAGTTGGCCCAGCATTGCTGAACGAGAGATGCTATCCATATTAAAGGAATCTTTGTTAAGGGCTGTAGTCATCTTCCTCAACAAGGATGTTGAAAGAAAGAAGCAGGCTGCTACTCTGGGAGGTAAGCTATTCACTAACACCAAATGTCTTGCTAGTCCTTACCTGCTGGGAAGCCACTGGGGGGATTATGTTGAACAGCATTCAGTTCCAGGAGAAGCCTGTCCAGTTCCGAGAGGTTGCTGCCCAGAGAGGTGCTGGTCATTGTGGGAGATGGTTCTGCAGACTTCTGCTTGTTTGGGAAGCTAGAGATAGAAGGGAAGTGTAAAACTTCTCCTTTAAGACACAGCAGAATGCTGGAGAGTATAAGTTCAGAGTTTACATGGATACTGTGTTCTTTTCAGGCTGAGGCTTTTAGCTCTGTGGGGAAAGCTGTGTGCTTTGTGAAATGACTATCACCACAGCTGCTGTTTAGCCACACCTTCAGTTGTCAGTTACAAAGAAATAGCATTGATAGACAGGGGCTCAGATCTCAGGACTCTGTGCTGCACTGTCCTACAGCAAAGAGTTAACTGTCTACAGATCCAAGATGCACAGAACAGCAGCAGAACCATTAGCTGGCATACAGGAAAAAGGCCTGTTTCTGCTGACAGCACACTGAGCAGCAAAAACCTCTCCTCTGAAGCAAGGGGATGCAGGGTCAGCACAGAATGGAGAAGAGGCGAAGTACGAAACTCAAGCTACCAAAACTACCAAAAGCAGCAGATTTTGTGTCCTGCAAAAGGCTGCCATGAGGTCTCTTTTCAAGACATCAAACCTTTACTTTCATGAATTCTAATCAATTTATAAGAAAGTGATCTGAAAGCATTTTCCACGGTGTTCAACACAGAAGCTTTTAGAGAGGCTTACCTACACACGAGTATAAATAAAACACTGGCTGTAGTTACAGCTCATGCTATAAGGGAGATCCCATTTAGCCACGCTCAACTGCAAAGTGTTTCAAAGCAAAACAGTACCAATGCAATGATCTGTGCAGTAAGTACACTAATAATAATCTATTCCAATACACTGTCAATAGCAGGGAAATAATTTTCTCCTAGTTTTATTATTACAAATAACTTCTAATGCTTTAGAGATTCTTATTCGATCAAAGATACTTCCCAAATCCAAAATGGGAATTTGTCTTGTGCACACATCCAGCCTTCTGCTCAGAAAGTTAATACATAACAGGTTGAGCACTGTCATACCTATAGCACTAGTGACAATTATGGAACTCCATAAAGGCAGTTATTATCTTCCTCTTCAGATTGAAAACAAAGTCCACAAATGCAATCTGAGAAGGGCATACTTCATCCTGGCCTGAGCACACAAGCTCCAATTCACACAAGAACCAGACCATGCCAGAGCCTTTTACAGGAGGATTCAGGGCCCTAATTATCTTGATTTTGTACTAATTGCATGCAGCCCTCTGAAAAATCACAATTACTGCCTCCATTGAGCCATCTCTGGATATGTCTGGTTCTACCCTGTAGTAGTTCTGGTTGCAAGCAGCTTTCAGCTCAGTATGAAGACCTAGGCATAGTTAGAACATGACAGGAGAGCAACACTCATCTCCACGCTATAAAAAGGTACCCAGAACAGAGTGCATCACACGGGGCCATCAGGGATGGAGCTATGGCAGCTTCTTCCTCTCTCACCTCCATGTCAGCAGGAAGGTCTATTTCACCACATAGGCCATCCCTGCAACCCCTCAGTGCAAGAACAGCTGTCCGTTAGTATAATATAATTAGTAACTGGTAATGTCAGAAGTACTGACAGAAGTTTTAAAGCCTTCGTGAAGAAATTTAAATGTACTTGAAAATCCAAATAATTGCACATCCAGCTAGGTGATGGTTACTGCATTCCTTGAGACAACTGACTCAAAGGCCACCCACCTCCTAAAGAACTGTGGGGTTGCTTAACAGGGGGATGGATTTGTCACTGGTCTCTGGATTGTATCCCTCAACACAACCCATATCCTGATGGATCCTCAAACTTCTTCCACAGCTGAGCAAACTGAAGGCCTAGGTCAACACTTTAAGTGAATATAAAAGGTAGTGCAGTAGCCTCTTACAAATGAGGTACTATAAACCAACGCAGGGCAACAGAAAATATACAGGAAGATCAGTGTTTGTTTCCAGTTTCAGAAGGCAGCCTGAGCCACAGCAGGCTTTACCTGCGAGTCAGGCTTCCCTCTTAGCAGGGACAAGGTACCTGTAGACGTGTTCCTCCTCACTGGCACGGGGAGAAGGGGAGCTGAGCCCGTCTCTAGGAACAGAGGCACTGGAGCTTTTGGCACTAGAGCTGTATATCGGAGACTGGGACTGAGGCTGTGGAAATAAAATTTGCATTGGAAACAGGGATATACACACTGTATTGCAACTCCACATACTGCAGGAGAAAGTACAGCAGCAAAAACCTATTACATAGCTCACCCAGCCCCTATCAGACGACCTACACCAGGAACAACTGTTTTCCACTTGCCTCAGATTTGCCTATGAGTTGCAGACCTGAGCTGGAAACCCCCAGCCTGCTTCCTACAGGCTACAGGACAGATGACTAATCCTGATCTCACACTACCACTTTGCTGGAGCAACAACGATGAGTTTTGAGGTCTTTTCTGCTATCTGATCTGATCTCTCCTTATTTCCCCAGTCTGTTTTTAGCCAAAGTCATCCTCCCTTCTTGCTGTTTCCTCCCCTCATCTAGTCCCAACAAACCACGCACACACTCTCCCCATCTCCATCAGCACATGCTTACTTGCTGGTGGGCGTATCTGGATACGCTGGGTTGCCACTGGTCCAAGGGGTCAATCACAGTGCCATTTAGGGCTTCACTGGAAGGTGGAGGAGGCACCGGTGGTGGCACAGCAATCTCCTGGTACGTGTGGTTTCCAGTTGGGTAGGAGTAAGGCGTTTCCTCTGTTAGAAAAACTGGTCGCTTAGAGATATGCGAGGTGGTGGATTCCAGGTCTGCCAGTAAGGCGTCTGCAGGAACAAAAAGAAAATTAAAACACACAGTATTGTGAAATCCCAGACAACAGCCTCGTTCACAATATCCACATCAGAAAGTCTTCAGGAAGTGTTTTCATCTAAGGTGATCTACCAAATGTGCTGTGACTTGCTGCTGCACCTCGGACTTCCAGTACAAAGAAAAGGTTTAGAGGTATCAGAGCAGTCAGAAAAACTGCCAGCCTCAGATTTTTGTCTTAACTGGAAAACCATGCAATAAGTGCAACCTGCAGTCGCACAGCGCACGCTTTGCAGAAGAGCAGCCTAGGAGAAACCTGCCTAGAGATGGACTTGCAACAGGATATTGACACAGGCTAATTACAGGCCCCACATCATCATGGAGTCATTTAACGTGGCCGCAGGCGCTGCTTTTTGCAGGAAACAAGATCTCGGGAGGGGTTTTCTCCAAAGCTGAAGGCACTGCAAGAAGCATGCAGCTTTCAATGAGTCTGTCACCGCGGCAGAAGGAAGACGTGCTTCAGCTTTCCTAAGAAGAATACTCTGCACATATCACACAGTTAGTGAGCTTCCAGAGCCTGCCAGGTAAATGCAATTTCTTCTCCTGGAAACAACTAGCTTGCTGGGTGGAGCCTGCTCACAGATTCCTGAAGAGAAGAAAAAACTTCCACTCGCTAGAAACACCGGCGCTCATGCCAGGCAGAGGAACTCATGCCATAAGGTTAGCACCTCTCAAATCTTAAAGCAGGAAGAAATACACTCATTCAATAGTAGGAGGAGAAAACCCACCTTTTGCCTTCCTGGATTTCCTCCTGCAAACTATTCTCCGCCCATTCCAAGCCCTGCACTGCTCTGCTGTGACTCACAGGCAAATCCCAGCTTGCTGGGTCTTCTGTCCTGCGATCCCACCCCGCTGAGCTGACTGCAGCCCAGGGTGGGGGAAACTCCTGTGAACAACTGCAGGTCTGCACTGCACACACTCCAACAGAAAGCCTCGCTGGCCGCCTGCCCAGCTCTCCAGCGAGCTCAAGCACACACTCTTTAAGGCCATTAGAGAGGAGCCGGGCTGCTGGGGACAGCAGCACTCTCCATGACAAGAGCATCATCACATACCTGGTAGGACCCTGTGGCGATGTGCAGTTCAGCCAGACACCAGCGACATGACTTGGGCAAACCTGGAGGAGAGGCCCTAGGAATGCCCCTACCCCAAGCACAGACCCAGCTGTCAGAGCAGTCTCCGTGTGCAGGAGCTGCCCTTCCCCCATGCACACCATGGAACTCAACTCCCAGATCGTGGGGCTGAGGACTGAGCCCAGGCTGAGGGACCCAGCAGCCTCCTGCAGGCAGGGTGGCAAGGAGCTGAAGTGACCAGGAGGCAGCAGAACAGGAGTTGAACCAGCTCATCCTGATGGCTGCCTACCAGCTCTCAGGGGCTGGCACCCGCCAGCCCAAAGCCACTTCCTCAGCACAGCCAAGGCACTTAGCAAGCCTCCAAAAAATATATGAAAGGGTCAAATGGAGGACAGCATCATCGCATTACAAGACAGGAAGGTGCTGCTTTTATATTCAACTCTTCCACAAAGCAAAGGATCATAAGAGAAAAGAACAACAACAAAAAAAAGCAGTTCTGCCCACAGATAACAAATTCACTATTAGCAAATTAAATACTGAGTTAAATTAACTCCACACACCTTTCATTTAGCCAGAAAGATGCTCCAAAGTCATTTAAACCAAAGGCATCTTCCCAGAGGGACCAAAATAGCCCAGGAGCAGATTCTCCTAAGGGATACAGCTTGCTGCAGCTAGGGAAGAATGAGTTTGATCTTCTTTTTAAGCAAAAGAACAGCTGATGGATTCCACAGCGAAAGGCACACACATACCTCAGGAGAACGCTGAAGAGCTGCAGTTTTTTTCAGCCTGGTCCTGTGGCTGGAGGTTTTGTGCACACAACCTCCAACAGAAGTGCTACCCAAGAAGGTGTGGCTTTTCCTTCTCCCCACCAATGACAAAAGCAAATCAAACTCTACCAGGAAGTAAAAATCTCATGAGGTTGCATGGCTCGTCCAGCCCCGTATGGGGACCCAAGTCATTTTTCCACCCTCCACCCCCAGCCCTCCCTGCAGGACAGACAGATGTAACCATCTCGCCACACAGTTTGCCTCCTCAGCTCAGCACCCTCTGCTGAACGGTTCCTTGGGCAGAAACGCAGCTCTTTTTTTTACTAATGGCACGGAAGGGAGCTCAGCTAAATGGAGTGTTTTATTCCAGCAAGTCTGCAGACGAGGGGTCTGGCAATGCCAGGAGCACTCAGCTCTCAGGCTGTGAAGGAGTTAAGGAGACACTGCAGTTTGATGATTAACTTCCCCCATTCCCTCCCCCTTCCCGACTTGAGCAAACAAGGCAGAACTGAGGAACAGGAAGCAGAGGGAGGAGAAAAGGCTGGAGAGGAATCACACAGTTGGAGGGTTACTGCAACTGCACTCAACTTCCCAACTGATGCCACGGCAGCTTCAGGAATGTGTGTACACCTCGCTTCCCCTGTAGCACGGGATCCCTCACTTTCTGCTCACCCCGTGTTCTGCAAAGCCCCTCTCCCTGTGCCTACCTGTCTGATGTGCCCAGAGCCGGTTTGCTCCTCCCTGAGCTCGCTGCCACGATGGAGGGAAGCTCTTCCCCACCCACACCCATCCCCATTTCTGCTTCTAGCCACTCATGCCCTCCCCTGGACCAGTTCCAATTATCAGAACATAACATGAGGCAAGAGAAGGAGCTAAGAAGGGAGTTCTACTGATGGAAAAAAAAAGAGCCATTGCTCCCTATCTTTCTTTCACAAAAGGGACCTCAGGGACCAGGCAGCCCTAACTTGGATAACAAAGGTGCTGTGCCTTGTGCAGCGCTGTCACTGCAGCGACTGCTCCACAAATAGAAATATTCAATTCTTAAACAGAAATATTAAAGGCTCTATTGATTTCTCAGCTAATGAAGTGCTCCTTCCCAAGGCGACTCTGCGGCACAGGGCTGCAGGAGGCGTCCATCAGCCGCTCGGTGCCACGCAGCCCATAGGGCACACCCGAATGGAGCAGTGCAGCCGTCAGAGGGCACCACCACAGCCTGTAAGGATGGAGCAGGAACGTCGGGTGGCAGCGGCTGGGTTGGCTCTGATGCACCTCACCTGGTCACCTCCAGCCTGCCCCTGCTTTCGGCACACTGAAGCTTTCTGTCAGCACTTCTGCACTAAGGAGGGGTGTGTGGAAGAGCAAGGGACATGCGATACTAATAGGGCTACTGCTGCACCACTGCAGTCACAAAGCCTCAGCTCACCGTGTGCTGCATCCTTGGAGGTGTTCAAGGCCAGATTGGATGGGGCCCTGGGCAGTCTGGTCTAGTATTAAATGGGGAGGTTGGTGGCCCTGCCTGTGGCAGGGGGGTTGGAGATTCATGATCCTTGAGGTCCCTTCCAACCTGGGCCATTCTGTGATTCTGTGCACACATCACACCTCAGTGCACACCACGTCTTGGCACTGCTCAGCACGGCACCCTGCAGATGTGGGAGAGGCACAGAAGAAGAGTTTTCTTCCCTCCACCGCAGGACCCAAATCTTGCACACAAGGGAAATCACACTCCACCAGAGGGTTGCCCAGCCCACATCCTGCCTGCTGTGGGAGAACAGCTGCATTCACCTTCAAGTGACATTTCGATGCTGTGTTTCCTGGGGAGGCGGGATAGTTAAAGAGTGATATCATGATTGATAATTTACTATTAAACAGCACTCTGAGACATCTAGAGGTCTGGGCACGTTTGACTCTCCCTTGTGCAAGAAAAGTCATTATTCTTGGGATCCTGGCCTTCCAATCCCACACTGCAGATGCATTAGGTACGGACGAGTGGCTCCTAACACCGACTGCACTGCTGCCAGTCTCATCAAAGCCCTGCTCATCCCTCAGCCTGGGACTGAAACTGCAGCACAACATGCTCTGCAGTGTTAGAGGATGGAGGAAAAGGTAGCTGATGTCCGGTGCACTGAACTCTCCACAAAAAAACCCTCACACCAAGACAACCAGCAAGATGAAAGAGCAAGGCAGTACATTAGGGGAAGTCCCACCCACCGGTTCACGTTGCACTGAGAAGAGCACTTATTTCCAGAGGTACCCTGCATGTCCCTGTGCACACCATGCATTCCCAGCACAGGATCCTGCACCATCCCTGCGTGCCAGCACCTGCTGTCCTCTGAATGCTCTGAACCATGTGCAGCCCCAGGGTACATTCCTCAGTTTCATCTGATAAAGAGCAGTAATGCCCACCTGGGGTCACAGCACAGCCCCAAGGCAAAGAACTGACGGCTAACAGGGGACCCTTTGTACTGATGAACACAGCAACTCCCTTCTCTATAAATCTGAGCTGCACTCAGCCTTGCTTAATAGGTAGTATGGTGGTTAGAAAAGATATTGACATGCGTCTTCCTATGTGCAAAGCATGCTGTTGGGGCACTCCCCCTCCCTGTGCCTTCCATGCACATCAGAAACACTCCCAGATTGAGGTGGCACAGTGGTGCAGAACACATCACAAACCAGTGCATAACAAGGCACTGACAAATTCCCATCTGCCCATCAGCAACAGGTAAATTTACCTTTGCTTATTGAAGAGAAGCCTTCCATACCGAGTGTCCAGCATTAGTGCCAGGCATTAGTGCCACAAGAAAGAAAACCACCTGGGCTTTCCACATGGAGTTCATGGCTGAAGATGAGCCATTAAGTCATGCTGACACTGCACACTGGAGCATTGCCAGTGCAGCAAGCAGATCAAAAGGGTGGTGGTCACACTTTCTTCTTCTTCCTATCTGCTGGGAAGGAAACAGACACGCAGCTGAGGCAAGATGCTTCCAGTGCTCCACGTATCAGCCTTCCATGTTCAGCAGCTGAAAGCCACTTTGCACACCCATCAAACCACACACTGCCTGCAGCTCTGCTTCAAACAAGAGACATCTGGAAAGCAAGCAATGCTAGAGATGGGATTCTTCA